CTGGTCACTGTAGCCCTCTGGGAATTGCCTCCGCACCTCAGGATCTGTAAATAATTGACAGATAATATTAATTGGCTTTGGATTAGTGAGCAAGCAGAGAATCACACATTAATATTTGATCAGAAGATGATAGCAACCCTGGCAGGGGATCCAAGGAGGGCAGCTGAGGCTGCTGTGTTGATAAGAGCAGGGAAGGACTTTTCAAGGCTCTCCCTTTACCCTCCTCCAGAAAGACAAAAACTGTGCATAAAACACACACAAAACACGTGAAATCAAAAATGTCTGTGTGTACATACACACATATATATGTAAATATAGATATTTATCTATACACTATTTTATAAGGGGAGCCCTGGTGCTGGACTGAACTCCAGGCTGTTACCTTGTGCAATATCTCTCTGGCTGTGATTTGCCAGCTGGGCTTGTCACCAGGAAATGGTTACCCAGGGCACTGAATTTGGGTTGAAATCACCCCAGTTCTGCCAGCTCCAGACACTGCACTGGTTTATCTCCACAGAGAGTTTTCAGTGATACCAGATTACAAATCTCTCAAAATTACTTTATGTTAAGGTGTGTTCCCCAGCAGACAAAAATATTTATCCAGAATTCGGAAGAGGCAATTAAGGCAGCCCTGGAACCTCTCTCATCAGGAAAACAAGTGTGAGACACTTAAGATTAGCAAGCATTCCAGACTGATGCAACGTCCTTATTCCTCTGGCTGTCAGAATAAATAATATGGTAGTATTCCCTGAGAAGTTATCTTAAATTTAATTAGAGATGTTCATAAAACAACAGAATATCATGATTGAAATTATTTATACGACAACCTATTTAAAACAGACCTCTTCAAAGCCACGCGTTTTTCAAAGGGATACAGCGGAGAAGGCCACATTCCATTCCACAATTATTCTTTTTTTAATTACAAGAAACCAAACCAAACACTCAGGCAAGAGTTCAAGACTAGAGCAGGTAGAACACCCAAGGTTATTGTCCAGAGCCCCTGCCCGGGGTGTGGGGACACTGCCCAGCCCTGCCCATCCCGGGCAGTGACACTGTGACACTGCACGAGGCCACCCCCCGGGTCAGCTGCAGGGGAGGGACTCTGGCTGTGGGACCATCCCCTGGCTGTGGCACCATCCCCTGGTGTCCCGGGTTCCCCAGCCCAGCTCTCAGGGCAGGTCCCTGAGGGATCCGTCTGGCGATCACCGGTTCCGCTGCCAGCAGGTGCCAACTCCTTGTGAGGTGTGTTCCTTCTGCAGGAGAAATCCAACAGCCTGGACCTTTATAAACCTTCCAGCTGAACATTTTGCAGAGAATCAGGTGCTGAGTGTTAAGGTTTCACCAGGGCACACAGACAATCACATGTACAGTGCATCACACTTTACATACACGTGTGAGCAAACCCTTCTACACAAACACAGCAAAGCAGAAACAAAGCAAGGGATCACCTTTTAAAGCCTCAGTTTGAAAATTCTTCAGTCTCTACACAGCTGAGTGAAGTGTCCAAACACACAGACAGATGTGCCCAGCTGTGCTGCCATGAGCACCCTCCACACACAATTAGCAATGAAGGGACAGTCCAGCTTCACACCTCAGCACAGCAAGTGCAGGAGCAGTGGAGAGAGGAAACTACGCAACTATTAAGTTGCATATTTTAAAATAATTTTTAAACTAATTATTTAAGGGTAAGATTTCAGGATTTTACAAGAAAAAAGACCAAACAATGACTCAATTAAAGAAATAAATTTGTATTGCTGAAGAAATCCGTAATGGTGTCTGGAATGTGATACCAATATTCCCCCCCTTCTATTGATCCATTGCTCTCAAACTTAATATAAATATATATATACATGTACTGACACACATATTTTATCATTTACCACTGTTTTAGAGAAATGAGGAACTAAATTTGACATAAATCCATAGTGTGTTTGCTCTAAACACATTCCTTTATAGATGGCAAGCAGCATTCTCATTCTTGAAAGATCCAACAAAACAGATTAGTCACACAAAGTAACTGTGTGTGTGTAAACATGTATTTTTCCTGTTTTCTCAGCATCTTGAAGGCTCTTCTGTGTTCCAGGAGCTCCTTTCCTCGTGTTTGCACAAGTACTTTCTATTTATCATTGTGTCAGCTCCATCACTTCCGCTTTTAAATGGTCTGGGAATATTGACTAAAGTTGCAGCATCTTTATTTGGAAAACACTACACAAGGGGAAAAGAAACTTCATCACATCCTACTACAGCTTTCATCCCCCATTCTTTGCTGGTGACTCAGTGTGCATGAGAAAGGGGTTCTCAACTGCACTGACCTACACATACACACACAGGAAAACTACATTTCAATTCTATGTGGGCATGACATGAAGTTCCAGGACGCTGGAGCAGCCTCACTGCACCAGGAGGATTGACAGAAACACATACATTGAAATAGTGGCCCTCAAGATATCTGACTTTAGGGAATATAAAGAGCTACAAACCAAACATTGCTATTACTCAGTATGGCCAGGCTCTGCCCTGAAAGGACAAGCACAGGGCACCTGATAATCCCAAAGGACATGATATCTGAATCATTCTGAACAGGAGAAAATGGTCAGACCATCAGGGATCCAGGTGGGTAGCCCAGCCAAGCACTCAGGATTCAGCTTTAATCAGCACCATTAGGATCAGGAAAAACTGCTTCAGCACCCGTGTGAAAATACTTTGGAAAGACACGAACAGAACTGTCAACTCTGCCTGTAAAACTAAAGTAACTTGAGAACTTCAAACACTTTAACTCGCAGTAATTTGTTTTGCACAGCACATGCAAACAGTGAGATGCAGCTCCATTGTAGCTCCAGACAGCAAGAAAACCCTTTGCAACTCAAAACACAGGGAACGCTGTTATTCCAGGTACTTAACAGGCTTTCGAGTGAAATGATGCAAAGTAAACACATGTAAAATACTTTTTTCAAGTTCAGAAGAGTGGAATCTATTTGCTGACACCAGAACAAGGGAAGAGCCAGACTGAAATGCTGCCCAGCCTCTTGCCCCACTCCAGCAAAGCTCTGAGCAGCCACTGGTAAGGTTACAGAGCCCTGAAAGCTCAGCTGAGGGCAGGAGACCCTGCAAACCACGGCCAAACACAGAGCACATGAACCCCAGAAAGGAAAAAGTCACAGGAATTACGGAGCTGCTTCTCAAACTAAACTTCTCCCAAACCCCAGAACAAGAACTCAGGTTGTGCCACAGGTTGAACCCGTGGCATGGTAACCCAGTATCTCCTGTTTGTCTTTCATTACACCTGATTTGGCAGTTCCAGCTCACAAAGATGACAAGATCCACACAGTCTGTGCCTAAAGCAACTGCTGACAAACAGCCATCTATTAATATTAATCACATGCTGAAATACAGCACTGGAAGTTGTAAGTTACAAGTGTAAAGCAGTAAGAATACAAACAACAACACTCCAAAATAAAGCTAAAATACACCACCCCACCTGGAATCTCCCATTCTTACATGGGTGTAAGGGCAGTGAAATACATCTGTCACAAACTTAAACTGCTGGTACCAAGACAAACGTTGATTTTATTCCTATTGATGACACTCAGGTTTAAAAAAGCTTTTAAACCAACGGCATGTCACACAAATGTCCTGAGATTCACTTCCCAACCTGACACACATCATCGGAAGCCTCTTCCCAGAGGATACAGCTCCACACAAAGCAGCTGCTGCCGTGAGATCTCAGTTGGCCACAGAGCTGGAGCTGCCCCAGCCCTTGTTCCTCAGCACAAACACCCTGTCCCTGGCAGAGCTGTTTGGAAAACCACCTATGGAAGGGATTCCGGGGCTGTTCCTGCAGCAGTTCCTTCGCAGTGATTTCAAGAGGAGCTTCTGAGGGAAGCGACGGAATCACTTCTCACACGACCAACGACCAGCTGAACGTGGGGTTACTCTGGCCAGGGACAGCAGAGCAAGGCTTTGCTGCACCACTTCAAGCAGCATCTCAGTCCTGGCCGGGCATTTACAGGTTCTCCTCAAACGGGGAGCACAAAGCCCTGATCCCACAGGAGTGAGCACAGTTCTCACTGCCAACACACTCAGCTTTCCCCTCCAGGAGCAGAGATTCCACACCACTCAGTGTGCATTGTGCAGAGCACTGTATTGATTGCTCAACCACATTCAAGCTATTATTGTCAGTATTTCATTAAAAACGTGAATGTTTCCAAGTTCTAAAAGCTATTGCTGCCTCTCCCTACACAATCTTGTCCAACAAAAAGCCAAATGCAGCCGAATATTGAAATTAGCTGTGAACTGTATAATCCCATTGTTCAATTTCATGGCATTTAAGACACTACCTTCCCCTCCTCACAAGTCTGGATGTTAATCCATGCTGGAACCTGATTTAATTTTCCAGATGACAGGATGGGAACATGCTACAATGGCATATTAGTGTAACTATGCTGCTCTTTTACTCTCAACTTTTCTTACATCATAAAGTGAGTTTTGCCTTTAAAAGAGGCATGCTTGGTTACTTCTAAAAATAGCCCAAGTCGAACTGGTCTGTTATTTGAATTGTATGGAAATTATGAAACCAGGGAAGGTTTCAAAAAATTACCAGAAAATACTTCCCAGAGTTAACCATGCAAACCCAACACAAACTGACCTGCTTCTTTTGATAAAAGTCAGCCAACTTAATCCATACTGGCTACACATCATTCAGATATACCAATCCCAAACTGAAAAATAGAGTGAAAATCACCTCATTTTTCCTCCCTAATTAAATGATTTACCTCATTCACTCCTTTAAGGTCCTTGTGGCTGCAGTGCCTCTAAAATGAACTGGATCCGAATTCAGAGTAACTTTAATTTCAACACCCATGACACATTCTCATACTTATGCAGCACAAGAAAAAAGCAACGCAAACTCCTTTCCAAACCTCTGCCAACTCCTGGGTGTCCTGCACTCAGCACAGCCCAACACTCCTGCCTGCCCCCAGACTGCTGCAGCCCGGGAAGCAGAAGCCATCCCGGAGTGGGGGAAGCAGGGGAGGAGGGGAAAAGG